ATTATTTAAAAAAAAACTAGGTTATCTGTTCCATATTTAGAAGGCTACATCTCAGTAGGCATGCACTTTTGTATATAATAGGTAAGTACCAATGGTAATGGATTCTTCCTATGCTAAGATTAATCCTTATCGTTAAGTTCCTTCTGCTCGAATGTTCAGCAGACCGTCCGCAGCTCTGGGACCATAAAAAACCCTATCGACTCTGGAAGGTCTCTGTTCCTACGAGCAATTTTCGAGGAAGTGGAAGAAAACAATAAACTAGCGTTGGGAAGGTCGCGGTTCATGATGTAGGTATTAATTAACCTTTTGGTCTGAACATCATTAGGAAACAGCTACTACAATCCTACCATATTCAACATATACTCAATTCACCAGACTGTGACCCAATATTGACAGCAACCTACTAGATAATGTATCAATAAAAATTAACAATACACAACTTGCAATAAAATATGTTTTATTTTTTCCTCCAAAACGGTGCATCCTACGAAAAAAATTGAAATGACAAATTTCATTCAGAATTGACGGTGGATTTCTAAAAAATATCAAAACAGGAAGTACGGACAGTAGTGTACCATTTTTTTTTATTAAAAAAGTTGTGGCATTCTCGCACGAACGCCACTGATGCAAATAGAAATATTCGGATCACCCCAAAAAATGCATATTTATCCCTCCAAAGCTTTTTCCAATACCCTTTGAAATACCCAATCAAAAACCCTTTGAAATAATTAATAAAAATAAATAAATAATTAAAATTTAAACATTCTGTATCTCGGAAAGGAAGCATATTTCGACCTACGTTTATATGAACTCTTCACAAAATAACTTGGGAAACCACCCCCTAAATTATTTCTTATGTACAAACACCCTGTATATCAAGTAATACCCACTAAATTTAAATTGATCTAGTCAACCCATTTGGAAGATATAAATACTTAAACTCTATTTTTTTAACGAAAACTAAAAAAATATATTTATAGGAGGACGCTTTTTATATTTTTCCTGAATATTTTATTAGTAATATTTTTTATATTCTTTTATCAATTATTTTATACATATTACAATGTTTTTTAATATGTTTTGTTAATGTTTATTACAATATTACTAGTTTTTATATATTGAGATGAAATCAGATTATTGAGAGCAATTTAAAAGTTACTTAAATTAAAATTCTACTTGAATACAACACGGTAAACAGAAAGGTTGAAATAATTGTTATAAAACTAAGAAAAATATTTGATAAAAAAAATTGTTAGTATTAAATAAGTATTATGAATCATTATCAGAGAGTCGGATTACTAGAACAGAATAAATTTCAAGAATTCAAGTATAAAAATTAGAGCTGGCAAAAACTGGAAAAAAGTGAAACCGGTTCCGGAAAAACCGATTTCATATAAAACCGGTTAGTCGAATAGTTGCTAAAACCGAATATTCTAAAATCGGTTATTCGAATAACCCGTTACTCGAATAATGGCCAAAACCGGATATCTGAAAATCGGTGCTTTGTAAAACTGACGAGATATACGATGTTATTCACATATTCACATATTTATATAAATGGATTTGGTCGTTTGGTGTATGTGGGTGTGGGTGACTGGTTTTTTATCAGTCTGTGTCTGTGTCCCAGGATAAAATATAAAAATAAATTGTATTTCCATTAATAGTTCAACCCTTCCAATATGTATGTACTATGTTGCCGGTGTCAATAACTACATAACACTATGACTATATTATGGTGTTATGTAGTTATTGGCTATAAAGAAAGAATCCGACTTTTCGGATGTTTGAATAGATTATCGAATAATCGGTTATTTGAATAATTGGTTATTTGAATAATCGGATATTTGAAGAATCGAATAACCGGTTTTCGCGTTTCGTAAATATCCGAATTATCCGAAACCGGTTAACCGACTATCCAAAAAACCGATTTCAGTTGCCAGCACTAATAAAAATATTATCATTTTGGTCAAATAGAGTACATGTCAAAGATGTTATAGGAAAAACATAATTAAAATTAATTAGAAATCGCAAGTGATATCAAACAAAAACTAAAATGTCATAGTTTTATTAAATAGGTGTAATATGAGTTAGAAAAATAACTAGTAAAATATATTAAGGTCTAAAGTAAAATTTATATATTAATAAGATGAAAATGTCAGGTAAATGTCAAAATTAAAGTTGGGTCCACAAGGCATAAAATAGAACATATAAAAGTCAAATAAAATTATAGAAATAAGAAATATTTTGAAACATAATTTAAAATTTTTGTAAAGACTACAATAGGTTTGTAAATTTGTAAAGTATAAAGTGAAGTGACGGCATTTAAAAAGAAAAGGCATGTATGTGGAAAGGCCCTAACACGGAAGAAGAAATCAAGAGAGTAAAAAGAAAAAAAATCGAGAGATTATTGATTAGTTACCGAAAAAATTTGTCAAAGAAAGAAGTGTTGCAGAAGTTAATTGATAAAACCAGATAAAATAGAATCAGTTATCGTGAGAGAGTTGTTAAAAGAAGCAAATTGGGAGAAACCAAATATATAGAAGTAATTGTATTGGAAAAGTCACTCAAGAAAAATCCAGTGAGAGCGGAATATCAGCAGCAGGTACCGGGAATCCAGTGAGAGCGGAATAGCAGCAGCAGGTTCCAGAAATCCAGTGAGAGCGGAATACCAGCAGCAGGTAACGGGAATCCAGTGAGAGCGGAATAGCAGCAGCAGGTTCCGGAAATTCAGCGAGAGTGGAAAGACGAGGATTCCAGAACAATANATTAAAATTCTACTTGAATACAACACGGTAAAGAGAAAGGTTGAAATAATTGTTATAAAACTAAGAAAAATATTTGATAAAAAAAAATTGTTAGTATTAAATAAGTATTATGAATCATTAGCAGAGAGTCGGATTACTAGAACAGAATAAATTTCAAGAATTCAAGTATAAAAATATTATCATTTTTGTCAAATAGAGTACATGCCAAAGACGTTATAGGAAAAACATAATTAAAATTAGAAATCGCAAGTGGCATAGGTATATCAAACAAAAGCTAAAATGTAATAGTTTTATTAAATAGGTGTAATATGAGTTAGAAAAATAAGTAGTAAAATATATTAAGGTCTAAAGTAAAATTTATATATCAATAAGATGAAAATGTCACTTAAATGTCAAAATTAAAGTTGGGTCCACAAGGCATAAAATAGTACATATAAAAATCAAATAAAATTATAGAAATAAGAAATATTTTGAAACATAATTTAAAATTTTTGTAAAGAAACTAGAATAGGTTGTATATTTGTAAAGGATAAAGTGAAGTGACGTGAAATGTAAAAGGAAAACGGCATTTAAAAAGAAAAGGCAAATATGTGGAAAGGCCCTAACAAGGAAGAAGAAATCAAGAGAGTAAAAAGAAAAAAATCGAGAGATTATTGATTAGTTACCGAAAAAATTTGTCAAAGAAAGGAATGTTGCAGAAGTTAATTGATAAAACCAGATAAAATAGAATTAGTTATCGTGAGAGAGTTGTTAAAAGAAGCAAATTGGGAGAAACCAAATATATAGAAGTAATTGTATTGTCACTCAAGAAAAATCCAGTGAGAGCGGAATATCAGCAGCAGGTACCGGGAATCCAGTGAGAGCGGAATAGCAGCAGCAGGTTCCGGAAATCCAGTGAGGCGGAATACCAGCAGCAGGTTCCGGGAATCCAGTGAGAGCGGAATAGCAGCAGCAGGTTCCGGAAATTCAGCGAGAGTGGATAGACGAGGATTCCAGAACAATATCTAGGCAGAGTAAACGCGGGAAGCCAGTCGACAATTGATCAAGCGATAATACATACAGAAAGGTACCTTTTCTTGTCGTTTTTGTGCACAAAGTAGACCAAAAATCGTATACGAAATAGCTAGCTAACATAGATTGAAAAGTACACTAAAAAGGGTAGAATACAAAATTTTCATATTATTTAAAATTTTTCATATCAAATAAATTTAATTTCACTATCTAAATCATCATCAAAATTTGGCCATTTTTTTAAATTTTATAGGTATTAATATTAGAAATAAGTAGTAACACATTGAATAAGAAATTATACGATAAAAACTTAAATTTTACAGTGTAGGTAACCAATAATACATAAAATCAATTAAAGTAACTACATCGAGATAAAATCTTGTTCAAAGTGTTAGAAATATTGTAGGAGATTTCAAAATATTCTTTAACTGTGTTTGACATTCCATATTGGATTTTTATTGCTATATATATAAAAATTAATTTCTAAATAACATCTTTTGATTAGTGTGGTGTGTTGTGTGGTTTCATGCTGAGTTATACCTTCATTTGAACCTACTACTGAGAAGGGTCGAGAGCTAGACAGGGCAAATTAGACAACCAACATTACAACAAAACCGTTATACAAACAAATTACATATTACTACACATAAAAAGATTGGCGGTTACACAAACACAAATTCATACCCATAACAATATATAATATTACGATTCTTTCTCTTATTTTTGACACGTGCAACCACTTTTGTGCATATAATTTAAATAAATGGTTAATAAATAAAAAAAATTAAACAATTTTTTTTTCAAAAGGAAGCGTTTCCTGACATAATTAATGTTCATATTAACTTTTTTTCAAATTATTATTTTTGAGTACTCTGCTTTCAAGGCGTTGTATATTTTTTAAAACTCTGTATACCAGTATTGTTAACGAAGACTATCTTAAATTGTTGCGGCCTTACAGAATGTCATGGCATTTATTAGGGGTGCCTAAATATAAAGGAAATATTTGGGACTAAATAACAGTGACAAATAACTACAATTTGCCTTCCATCCGAAAACCACGCTCCCTCGCTCAGCCGGCCGACCACATTAAAAGTTTGCTGAAACCGTAGCATCACCTAAGACAGCAGATTAATGTAAACAGATAAGTAAGGCTTTCTCCTCAGTTTGCAGCCGACCAAAACTTAAACAACTATAACTACTCTAATAAATTAAATCAGGACTTACGACTCCATTATTGAACTTGCGGACTACGCACGGTAACGTGGCGGTGCCGCCGATTTGTGCAACCACCACCGTGCAGTTCTCGGTGGCAAACAGTGGGGACTTGCTGCCGTTCCTCCCACCTTTGACGGCGTTGGTTATGGCGGCCTCCTTGCCTTTGTGGCGCTGCTCGTAGCTTCGCCTGTGACGGTAAAGGCTGCTGTCCATATTTCCTGAAACAAACAACCCTTTCAGTCGTAATAACTATACTAAAAATCAACAAATCAGCTTATAATTTTTTATCAACAAAGTATAGTTGTTACGATTTCAATTGGAACCTGTGAACCTTGACCGTATGCACTTCTCCTGAAATTTCTTTCTATGCTTTGACCATGATGTGTCTCGTAATTTATACTCGAAATGCTATTCGAGTATAAATTACGAGAGCAAAACAAGTAATTTTTGCAAATTGTTTAAAACAATAGTTTAAACAAATTGTGACTAGGTTACCGGCCGGTAACATTTTGATCCTCATTCAGGGACATTTCACGGAGGTGATTATGCAAAAAAATCAAATCCACTATTTTTTTCATACGAAGCCGCCGATTTCGCCTTGTCTGATATAAAGATTTTTGACGTGCATCGTGTATTAAGCGAGGTACATTGGAGTGGCTCTCTTATAGTAGACAGCCTGTATACTATACTATAATAAACATTTATTAAGGCACATAATGTCATAGTTTTCTTTATCCGTTATACAGGGTGTCTCATAATTAGCTGCCAACCCTGAACAGGCCGATTCTATGATCAAAACTAAGTAAAAAAGTTCATATGAACATGGGTCCGGAAATGCTTCCTAAGGGCACAGGGACCCATTGAAGAGGGAGGAATGGAAATCATTTTTTTGCAATATCTCTCAATCGCGTTGTGATAAATGAATGAAATTTGGTATACACAGCTAAATTTTGATGAGCAATTTGATGGACTAATCCATTTATTTCCACAAGGTCCATTGGGGTGGGTACGGGGGGGCCCTTGGTACTTTGCGTGTGTAACTTTTTCATCTTTGACTTTTTAACAAATTGGACAGCAAATTCCGTTTTCCCGAACTGTTTTACGTTAAAAAGGTACTCTTGTTTCAAATCGTTATCTTTAACGGTTTCTGAGAAAATCGCTCTTGAATTAATCCCACTTTGGTCAATTTCATAGTAATTTAAACAAAAAAAAATAATAATAATTTTCCTTTCCTCTCTTTTCCATTTAAAGGATTAATTTTTATTTAATTTAATTTTTTATTATTATTTTTTTATTAAAATTAGATTAAATTTAAACAAAAAAATTTTTTTTGTTTAAATTACTATGAAATTGACCAAAGTGGGATTAATTCAAGAGCGATTTTCTCAGAAACCGTTAAAGATAACGATTTGAAACAAGAGTACCTTTTTAACGTAAAACAGTTCGGGAAAACGGAATTTGCTGTCCAATTTGTTAAAAAGTCAAAGATGAAAAAGTTACACACGCAAAGTACCAAGGGCCCCCCCGTACCCACCCCAATGGACCTTGTGGAAATAAATGGATTAGTCCATCAAATTGCTCATCAAAATTTAGCTGTGTATACCAAATTTCATTCATTTATCACAACGCGATTGAGAGATATTGCAAAAAAATGATTTCCATTCCTCCCTCTTCAATGGGTCCCTGTGCCCTTAGGAAGCATTTCCGGACCCATGTTCATATGAACTTTTTTACTTAGTTTTGATCATAGAATCGGCCTGTTCAGGGTTGGCAGCTAATCATGAGACACCCTGTATAGAATAATATGATATATTCAATGTTCCACATAGTACATTTATGTGATCTGTCCACTTTAAGTGGCAGTCAAGATGTACACCCAGAAAGTTGGTACTTTCGGATGATTCCAAAAGGATGTTTGTACTTGCGATATGTTTATTATGAAAGTAAATTATTTTCTTTTATCAATATTCAAAATAAGGTTATTTATTAAGTTTACAAGATTAAGCACCGATCCGTGAGGAACACCCAAAGTGACCCATTGATTCACATATATGACCTCTTTAATTTTAACACGCATAGATCTGTTAGATAAAAATTGGATTATCGAGTCTAACAATATCCATCTGAAACCAATGTTGTACAATTTACTTTTAATAAATAAAATATTATAACCAATCAAAGGCGCGTGTTAAATCGAAAAAACGACTCCAAAACCTATCTTCCGTTCGCTGTACGATTATTAGTTCATGTGATATCGATGACCAAAAAAAAGTGTCTTTTCACTCAATAGCTGACATCTCAATGAGAAAAAATCGTACAGAAACTTAAAAAAAACAAATTGAAGCTGAGCAATCAGGCTAAATGACCATGACATTGATTAAGCCGGAAAATTTTTCTGAGCCCATGGGCAGTTTTGAAGAAAGAAAAAATTTGTAAAATTTTTGCTTTACATTGCATTCTTTTGATTGCATCGAGTGATGCTCAAAAAAAATTTTCAAGATTTTAAAACTAGAATCTTCAAGCTTCAAGATGCTTTTCTTTTTTTTTTCGATACGACCATTATTCACGAAGTTACAGCCTTTTAAAAAATCACAAAAAAATTTTGAAATGTATATTTAAATCGATTTCGTCAAGTGTTTGTACATAACGTTGTCTTCTAGTATCGGGGGAAATAATTTTTAGCAGTATTTCTAATCTTATGAACTATGAATAATAATCTGTTTACATTGTCAATGTGATGGCATTAATAATGAGACAAAATAAATGTCATTTGTCGACTTAAGGAGTAAACTTATCTCACATTAAAAACTAAATATCCGTAATATCTCTCAACGCGATACAAGATCCCTTTAAAATTACTATTAAAATACCGTGCTGCTTCCAAGAAAACTTTAAACGGCTAATATAAACTTTATAATTCTTAGATACGAAGGTAAAATAAATTCCTGAATAACCTCATAATTTTAACATCAAACTATAAGTTTCTGAATTACGAACCACTTCGCCTACGTTTCGCGCTTGTTAAGAAGCTCTTAGTCTAGTTTAAAAAGCAATAGGTCCACAGGAAATAGTTTTTCACAATCCGCCGCTCCTTTCATATGAATCCTTCTTCTTTTACATGCACTGCAAAATTTTTCTGAATGGGTTTATGTTCAAAGGAACGCAAGGAAACGAATAATAAACGAACTTCTTTCGAGTAACTAAACGTTGTTTACAAAGGATAAAGGAATACAGTCCATGACACCTTATTGAAAGTACAGAGTTTCTCTTTAGGAATTGTAAATAGAACAATGAAATATGGTGCGACCATTTAAAAACGTCCTTAAAATTTTCACTAAAACTTATTTTGGCTTTTTGTAGAAATTCATTGATTTTTGTTATAAACCATATAAGGTTAACGATTTTTGAAGTAAGAATTCCAAAACTCTCAGTACAGTATTAAGAAAATTTTCTTATTTTGTGATAGTTTAGCATGTATATCTTTCCTATTATTTCATATATTGTAACACAGGTATTGAAAGTACATGAAAGAAGCGTTATTTCTGTCACACTAGCCTCGATTTATGAATTAACAATAAAAATAAGCAGTTATAGCTGATATTTTTCATCGTTGACTTTGCGACAAAAAGAATAGCGGCCAAATTGGCCAGTTTTTATAAAATAATATGTAATTACCGAAACGGCAAATAAATATACCTACGTTTTGTTCCGAAATGATACAGGGGTAAATAAAAATTTAATCTCCTTTAGGTACAATATAAAAATCAAAATATGTATTTCCTAAACGGTTTGAGATATAGAGATGCGGTTAAAATGTTGGTTATAATGACTTAGAAAAAAGTATATCGTTCCATTTAAAATTTCCAATAAAAATTAAGAAATACGTTAGGTTTCAACATATCGCCATTTTGTACCTTTACTAACCAACTTTTTGCTATCACTAAAACATTTATGAAATCCGTAAGGTATTGTCATTTTAAACAAATCTGATTGCAAGAAAATCCATTAAAGCAATCCGAAAATACAGCATTCTTTAAAAATTAATAACAAAAACTTATCCCACCCCTAAGAAAATAAAAAATGTCACTTGGAAAAGTTTTAGGAAATGGACTATCGATTAAAAGTGATAAAAAATCCATGTTAATAAGGCATTTTTTAATTTAGTCAATTTTAAAAATGTCTTAATCAGTTGCGCCCTCTTGCGGAGATTTGCGGAAAGTGAAAATATTTCTAGTGAAATTTTCTTGGCCACTTTTATTATAACAATTTTTTCCCCGAACCTGTAGGATCAATAGATTCCCATATACAACCGATGGCCGGCCCTAATCAGACACCCGGTATATTGGTACATAATCAGTACTACAATATCCAGAATATATACGACAAAAAAAGTCACATATAAGGTTATTGTAGAAAATAATTTACAGTTGACCTAAGTGTTGAACGGTAAATCGTCTCCGATGATCGGTAAATATTAATTTCAAAAACGAAAGTGACCATTCAACACTTACCGAGGTTACAGGTGCATATCTAAAATACGCGCAGTTTTTAATAGATGATATTTGTACATGTCTGCCTCTGACCTGAAGCTTCGCATCTATCAATTTATTCGATACGCATCTGGCAGCATCCTGGCAGCCTGGCGTGCCGGAGAACAATCCCCGTTTTTTTTTCGATAAGGGCCGTGCATTTAATTGTCATTTGCGCGCGAGTGAGTGAGTTGGACGCTCTGCTTGGTCGAGTGTATGGCACCTATTTTTATGGCAGTCAGTAGCATTGTGTACCGTGAGCATAAAGCGGCACACGGCTTTACAACAGATTTAGACTATTTCTGCGACTACAAAGCGTTTTGCAGCTTACTTTCATAATACTACTGTTTATTTATTTGAATGTCGCCACAAAGTTTTCGATGTCTAGCTATTATTATGTTACTGACATAACCTAATACGTTATTTCTATGAATGACGGACAAGGCACCCTTCCTGTTATGTTAGATACAAAATTGCTATGTACTATGTAGTTTTTTCGTTTAAGCGTTAGTAGGTAGGCATCAATATAGTTATTCACTATAAGAAAGTGGGTTGCCCTCTGCTAATAAAGCATCGACTTAAAGTAATAAAGTCGTGTTAGCAAAATTATTTTTATTAAGCATTTGGTATTTTAACAATAACAAGAAATATTGCTGTTTTAATACAGATTATCTTAGCAAAACTTTATT